ACATTAAATTTTGTTTTCTTTAGACAGGGTCTCATTATGTAGTTCAGGCTGCCTCAAAGTTGGAATGATACTCCAGTCCCCCAAGTATTGGAACTACGGGTATGTATCACCATACCCAGCCTATACATTGAATTTTAATTTTTCTGTTATTCAGGTTAAACCATCAATTTGACTTAGAGCATCATGCTCAGTCAATATTAGGATAATACACACATGAGTTTGAAAGTAGAACCTGGATGGTGTTTTAGAACTTGTGTTCTTTATTAATCCCCTCATAGAAAGGGCTTTGCCTACTGTTTGTAACTGACATTTTTGCTGGCATACAAGTCTCATTCAATTTTCCCATCACATATTTAACAGTGGTGTTTTGCATTTATAGTCACTGAGTCATTAATACACCCAAACATTTAACTGAATCTTTTCAGCAGTCATATCACTCTTGGAAGATATTTTAAAAGCTTAGTAATGGCACAGAAGATTTTTGACAGTTTAAAGATTGCTTTAAAAAGAAGTACAAAGCCAGGAGCAACTCAGTGGCTGGGGCTCAGCCTAGAGGATGCAAGGCCCTGACCTATACCCTGGCACCTGCAAGGGAGTGGGGCATCATTTTTCTTGAGGGTTTTCTAATGCAGCCTTACATTTTACAAATATTTGCACTACTGTCATATTTATGGCTCCTGTTTTTCATGTAATTCAGGTTTTGTAAGGATTCTGCTAGTTTTAAAATAATTTCTATTCAGTTTTATAAAAAATACCTCCAAAGTATTCACATATAGACATATTTCATACTGCATGGTTTAAATTTGAGGCCATGGCTGGGTGTAGTGGCACATGTCTGCAATTCCATTACTCAGGAGGCTGAAAGGATCTGAGTTTGAGGCCAGGCTGGACTACACAGTAAGTTCAAAGTTAGCCTGAATACAGAGACCCCATTTAAAAAAAAATTCAATAGTATTTTTTTTTTTTTTTTGTACCAGTGATCAAACTCATAACCTGCACTTGCTAGGCAGGAGCTTGTGCTGCTAAGCTAAATCCCAGGCCCAAAAAAATTCAATAAATTTGAGGCCAGTCCTCTAATCATTGATATTTTCTTTACAACAGGTTATTTGAATCTTCTAGAATTTTATAAGACTGAAATCCTAAAGGGTTTGCAGATTTTTCTGTTTTGTAATTTTGAGGGGATTACTAAAACTTATAGTAGTTCATTATCTTTCTTTCTTCTTTTTGTGGTACTGAGGATTGAACAGAGGCCCTTTGAACTGGCGTATATGTCCAGACTTTATTTAGTTTTTGAGGCAGTACCTCACTAGATTGATAAATTGCCCAAGCTGATATTGAACTTGCCATTCTCCCGCCTCAGCCTCCGAGTGCTGGGATTACAGGCAAGTACTACTATGCCTGAACCAAATAGTTTTCTGGGTTTTTTAAAATTGCTAAATATGTTCTATTCTATGGACATAGCAGTTACCCATTTGCCAATTTATGAATATTTGTGTTATTTCTAGTTTTGTCAAAAAATCTATTATAGAACCCATTTCCTTATATATTGTTTCTTTCCTTAAGAATTGAGAGAGCAGTGTCCAACCATGGGATAGGTGAATTTATTTTTTATTTGCAGTGCTTTTTGTTTGTTTGTTTTTTTACTTAGACTTTTGCTAAGTTGCTAAAATCTCCCAGGCTGGGCTTGAACTTGTGATCCTGCTGTCTTAGCCTCCTAAAGCCCTAGGCTTGAGGGTCTGTGCCCAGTTTGAAAAATTTTTAGAGAAACTGCAACACTGCGATCTAAAATGGAGATTTCCTTTGCACACCCACTGGAGCGTACGGTATTTTCCAATTCCCCTCCATCCCTGTGCACGTTTGCTATGTTTGGTCTTTTATGTTAACCCTTCTCATGCATGCTGACTGACATTTTTCAACAATTTCTGCTGCATTTCTCTCAGGGCTCTCAATGTTGCATAGTTTCCCCTTTTTTGTCTGGGAGTGGAGACATGAGCTGCATGCACCAGCTGAGCCCTCACCTCTGAACTGCACCCCAGCCTGAGTGCTTACCCTGTGTACCTTTTCACTTGAGTATTCTTCATTAAAATGCCCTTTCCTTAAAACAAAAAGGACCAGAGTTTAGAGGTCTGCAAGTTAACCACAATCACCATCTGTGCCAAGTGACTCCTATCAGGAGTTGCACCAAAACGAGCACAATTTGTTTTGCATTTTTCACATCACCCCGTGTTTCTGTATCTGCTTATACATATTTTAACCACTACAATGGGCTTTGTACTTTACCAAGTAACAGTGCACACAGATGCTTGCCTTCTGTATCTTCATTCTGCCTGGATGTGCTGAGCTTCTGTAGATTGGGTAACATCTCACTTCTGCACTCTTCCAATTTACTGGATGAGGCTTATGGATGGGCACTGCTGCATCCAAGCTATATATTATAATATATATTATATATTAGTAGTAGTAACCCCACAATCTCCCCAACTTGGGATGTAGAGCTTGAACCCAGCCATCCTGGTCCTACTTCCTCACCTTAGTTTCCCTCCTATAGCCTCCCCTTCTACTGAGGCCTCCACTGTCCTTTTCTGGTTTTCTTCCTTGTTTTTTTTTTTTTTTTTGTTTGTTTGTTTGTTTTGTTTTGAGACAAGGTCTCACTATGTAGCCCAGGCTGGCCTTGAACTACTACCAATAATCACCAAATGCTGGGATTATAGGTGTATACTATCACACCTGGCTTTCTGGGCTCTCATCTGCATATTTCCTGCTGCCTGCTTTCTTGTTTACTAAGATGCTCTAATCTGCTAGTAATTATACCTAATTCTACTTTAATGACATCCTTACCGAGGAGTCATATATCTGTGCATACAATACAATGCATTTGTTTAAAACGCACAATGTACCAAGTCCCGACCTATATGCACACTCAGAACCAAGGCCATAATCAAGATTTAGATTTTTACCATCCCCAAAGTCCGTGTCCCTTTGTCTCTTTCTCCCTCCAAATCTGGTTCCAAACAACCACTGATCTGTTACTACTGATCAGTTCACATTTCCTATAATTCTATGTAAACTGAACAAAGCCATATGTATTCATTTTTCACTCTGTTTCTTAGTATGATTTTGAGATTTGTGCATGTGATTGAGTGTACTGGCAGACAATTCTTCACTGACAAGTAGTATTCCACTGCATGAATTTATCTATTGATTTGTATCTTTTTTTTTTTTTGTGCTATGGATTGAACTCACGACCTTGCACTTGCCGGGAAGGCTCTTATGCCACTGAGCTAAATCCCCAGCACCTGGTTTTTGACACTGTTCTTGTACAAGTCTGAATGCAGGTATGTCTTTCTTTTTTTTTTTTTTTTTTTTTTTTTTGAGAGAGGGTATGTTTCTGGACTTGCCCTAGTCTTCTTGGCTTAAGTGATCCTCCTGCCTTAGTCTCCTTAGTAACTGGGACATCAGGACCCTCTCATACCACTTCACTCAGGTAGACATGTTTTTATTCTCTTAGGTAACATGTGATGGTCTCTTTGAGGATCAACTTGGGTATACTATAGTCTCCAGCTATTCAGACACAAGTCCAGGGCTGGGGTGTGGCTCAGTAGTAGAATGTCTGCCTCAGGAGTGCTGGGCCCTGTATCCCAGCTTGAGCAGGTTAAAGCAAAACCAAATCTCAGTGCTGCCATGAAGGTATTTGTGCATGCATTTGGACCTGACTTTAGTAAGGGAGCTTATCTTATACATCATCTGGTCAGGCCTGATTACATCAGTGGAAGTCCTGAGAGGCAGAGACGCCACCACCCTGAAAAAAGTTGTGCATGCACAGTTTTGGCCTTGCTTGGGGAAGCCCAGCCTGCTTCCCTGTGATTTCACATCTGCCCATTAAGAACTCCACACTTTCTGGCTCTGCTAGTTTAAACCCTAGCTGACCCGGATCTCCAGGTAAACCATGGGTCATGGTGCATGCCTGCAAGTCTAGCTGTTCAGAAGACCTGAGGCATGCTGGGTATGATGGCACATGCTTGTAATCCCGGCACTTGGGAGCTGAAGCAGGAGAATGGCTGTGAATTCAAGGTGAGCCTGTACTACATAATGATATCCTGGCTCAAAAAAAAGTCAGAGAGCTAAGGCAGGAGGACACGACTGCAAGGCTAGCATGGGCAACATAGCAAGGATCCTTCACTGTCTTAAAACTTTTTGTTTGAGACAGGGTTTCACTATGTAGTTCAGGATGGCTTTGAATTGGTGCCCATACCTCTGCCTCAGCCTCCCACTTGCTGTTACAGGTGTGTGCTACCAGGACCAGTTTCAAAAAATTCTTTTTTTTTTTTTTTTTGTCTTTTTCATTTTTACCAGTAGCAGGGATCGAACTCACGACCGCCTGCTTACAAGGAAGGTGCTTACGCTGCTGAGCTAAATCCCCAGCCCCCAAAATTCTTAATTTTTTCTCAATAGGGTCTTAGGTTTTCTTGAATTAGTTCATAAGATTAACAATGGTAGCTGTATTTCCAGTGGGATAGAAGACAGTGGCAATAGCACAACAGACGTTGGCTATGCCTTGTCAAATACCTATTTAAGTGAGGCCTTGAGTAATCATGTCTTTGTTACCTTGGGATATTTTATTTTTTTGATGCCAGGGATCGAACTCATGACCTTGCGTTTGCTGAGCAGACACTTACACTGCTGAGCTAAACACCCAGCCCCATTGTTTTTTTTATTTCAAATTTTGGGTTTTTTTTGGTATTGGGGACTGAACTCATGACCTAGTGCTTGCCGGGAAGGCACTTATGTTGCTGGGCTAACTCTCCAGCTATTTCAATATTTTTTAAACAAAGCTTGAGAATTTAAGAATTTGATATTGGGGCTGGGGATTTAGCTCAGCGGCATAAGTGCCTGCCTTGCAAGCAGGCAGTCGTGAGTTCGATCCCTGGTACCGATAAAAAGGAAAAAAGACCAAAAAAAAAAAAAAAGAATTTGATATTATAAATAAGCTGTATTAGACATTTCACAGTAAACTAAACAAAATTTTATTTTTTTCTTTTCCTTTTCAGTTTTTTTTTCCTGGAAGGGCAAGACAACCATTAAAGAAAAATACAGCTTAAACAGAAGAGGGTCCAGGAGACAGGTACAGAAACACAAGGTATGTCCCACCCTGACAGAAGGGTCTGCTTTTGGCACAGACCTCTGCAATTAAAATAAAAAGACAATTTGGTCCCCTTGTCTGGAGAAGACACCATCACTCTATGGACAGCATTCATAATCATTTCTTGAAGAACCCATTCTTCTTCCTGGGATTCTACACCTATGCAGTATTTGGTGGACCCCAAGGTCAGCCAGGGACAGAAGGGTACAAGGGACTCTCTGGGCATTGTACTGCCACATTCCAGCTTCTCGCATACTTTTTTTTTGTGATCTTTTTGAGACAGTTTTTGCTAGTTCAAGATGGTCTTGAACTCACTGTGTAGCCCAGGTTGGTCTTAAATTTGCAGTAATCCTCCTGCTTCAGGTTCAAAAATGCTGGGATTACAGGCATGCACCACCATGCCCAGCTTAGCAGTTACTTTTGATGTCATCAGAGGATTTGAGAATGGGAAACACACTCAAGCTACCAGGTGGCCTTCAAGCAGGTGACCTCAAGTAGCTGATCTGTTAAAAATGGAGAGGAGAGGAAGACAAGGAGCATAAGAAAAGTCACAAAAACATTGGCCAGAAGTATGAAAAAAAAGTGAAAATTTTCCTTAAAGACAACGAGAAAAGGCTATGTATGGTGGTGTGCACACCTGTGATCCCAGCACTCAGGAAGCTGAAGAGGATCACTAGTTCAAGTCCAGCCTGAACTACACACCTGTCTTAATATCCCTGTAAAAGAGACAATTAGAAAAAAAGTCCCCCATTTAAATTTTTTTTGTTTTTACTTGAAATCTGTTAGCCAGATGGGGTTTCTGGGTTGGGGTAATCTGTTTCTGTTCATCCTTGGTTGCAGCCACTGACATCATACACTTCAGGACTCTAACTTCAGTGTGCGGCAATCACTGTGAATAAACACACAAAACTGCAAAGCTTGGCAACTGCTCCTTTTCATAGGGACAATAAGTTGGGGCCCACATGTGGGAGGAAACACATTTTTTGGTCTGAGAAACTGGACTGTAAATCTGCTTCCTGCATATGCAATTCACTTAGGTCTTTTCATAAATCTTTTCAACTTATAGAAACAACCTGTCCAGGTCCCTCCTCAGGTCAACTAGCAAACCCTTGGCAGAGTCCAGGTTGTGCTCAATTCTTTCAATTTTGATCAACTGCTAGGAAAAACTGTCCATGGTAGCTCTGAGCATCTTGAAGTCCAACTCCACCTGGTTTCCTGTTGCCTCAAATCTGTCCAGTGACAGCCTGTCAGCAGGTTGGGGGCAGCTGGTAGCTGGGTCCTCCCTGAAGTATGTGCACCTACTTGTGTTTGCTCTTTAGCTCCTCCATGTTGCCATACAGCAACCAGCTGTGCCTCTTTCAGGTTCTGTACTGTGCTGGTCAGGGTGTCCCTGTCCACTTTGGAACCCTTGTTCTGCAATGTGGCCAAGTGCTACTTGTGTACCTGTTTCTTGGACATTAGGTTCTCAGCCAGGTGTATAGAGGCCTCAGCATGTCCAGTGTGTGTGTCTAGAACTCTGTACCTTTACAGCATGGGAGCTTTGACCCTGTGCTGGTACAACTACTCCTGCAGCCTCCTGACTTTATTTGAGAGGTGCAGGATAGCCTCCTCTGAGCATTGCAGCTTTTCAGTAAGGGCCTGCAGGGTGAGATGCTCAGCCTTGCTGCCTCCTTGAAGATCTGCCGGTTCCGCTTTAGCCTCACCAGTTCCCACACCTTGCTGGAGACCTTTGTTGCCATAGCCTGCAGGGAAGGTCAAAGGACCATCAGGTCCCCACTGCTCTGGAACTTGGCTAAGTTCTGCAATTTCTGCACTGTGGTCTTCATGTCCTGCCTGTCCCCTGCCAGATTCCTCCAGCACAGCCGTCTTTGCTCTGACATCGTTGATCTTGTCCTAGCTCTGCTTCTGCAGGTCAGCAAAGATGGTGACATTGTTGTGGATGGTGATGTTGTTGTTGGTGAGTTCTGTCAGCCTCTCTTCTACAATGTGCTCTAGGGACATGAAGTTGTCCTCACCAGTGTCCTTCACCATGTGGATAAAGTATCAGAGGCCCTTAATCTCCTGAAATTTCTTCAGGACATCAGCAAATCAGCTAACCTCCCATTTCCCAGCTTTCTCTGAGGTTCTATTTGTGCTGGGACTTCTCAAGATGAACTTCAACATCTTAAATGTGGCTTGCAGTGACTGCACCTTTTGCTCCATGTCACATAGGCCCCAGGCCAGCTCAAAGCGCTAACGCACCTCTTCCAAGATGTGAACACCCCAGTTTGAGCACTAGGAAACAGCAGGAAGAGTGCAAAGCTGGCTGCCTGTGGAATCTTTTCTTTTGGTTGAGTGTGTGTGATAGCTCGGGTGAGGAGAAGAGCAAGCTATCTTGGAATATTTTCTAAACTATAAAGGAATTAGCTAGATGTGCTTAGCCACACTGAAGCACATGGTCACAGGCTCAGCCTCACATAGATGATAAGCATCTGCAATCTCCTTACCTGCCCAGAGAGAAACCTCCAGGACCAAAGCTCTGAAAAGAAGCAGAATTCCACTGTGAGCCTGGTTGACAGATGCTGCCTGGAGCCTTGGTCACTGCCACAGAGGGCCACAGTGCACACCCTTAGGATTGTGGAGCAATGTTCTGCCTTGTTCCATGGATAGATTTTCTCTTGGGAGACAGTTTTGGTTGTGCTAAGCCTTGACAGACCCTTAACACTTGGCCACAGGTCAAAAAGCCACTGTGTGACTCTAAGCTCTCATCAGTCTTAACTCAACCTATGGGCTGCAAACTGCGCACGTACATAGCATGCTACCACCCAGTGGAAGTGGGGTGGATGACTCTGGCCAGCTCCAAAGGGCCCTGAAGGCATAAGAAGTCTCACAGGACATTACCTTTATGCAGCCAACTGAGGAAGAGAAAACTCAGGCCTGTTTTACAGTCTGATTTCCAATGGTTTTGCAACGTTCAGACACACTTGGTGACTTATTAGTCACTACACAATAGCCATTCATTCCCTACCTCCACTCTCCTGCCTCGGCATAGTCACCCAGCCAGGACCTGCCTCAATTGTGAGACCCTGTCCCTCTTCACACTGCTGAGCAACCTTCTCCTGTAACCTCGCTGAAGACCCTCCGAGGCTTCCGGAAACGTTACTTCACCTGTTCTGGGCTTCCCGCGCAGGAGACCTCACCCTTGCCTTACGGAGTTCCTTCCTGACTCAGCCTCTAGAATAGCAGCCACCTCCATCCTCCACTAATTCCCCTACAAATTTCGCCCGGCATCATGAAGGAGCGATCAGAAATTACAAATTTAACGGGGTCTTTTTCCGCGCGGACGGCTCCCTTCTCCCTCACCTCTCAAACCTCAGAAAGCTAAGAGTTCGGTTGCCACTCGGCGTCCCCAAGAGCGAAGACATGAACTCGGGAAGCGGAACACGGGCGTCAATGGCTGACATCTCTTAGACCGCGACCGGCACGCCAGCACAGCCTCGGCCGCCCTTCTTTCTAGCGCACTATTACCGCTGTCGAAGTTCAGGCTGCCAGTGCAGCTTCCCAGGTCCTCCCGCGGCTTGTTTGGCGCTTGCGCGGGTGGGTGTGGCCATATGGCCGTGGCCTATCCCCACCCCCGGCGGCGTACGCACGCCCCGACGCACCACCTCGCGCATGCGCCATCGGCGGAGGTGGAGGCTGTGGGCGGCGGGGGCGCGCGCGCTCTCGCTCCCGTTCCTCGCGCCTGGCGGAGGCGCGGCGGCGGCTGAGGCGGCGGGGGCAGGGCCGGGAGGGCTTGGGGGATGGATCTGGCGCGGTGGCTGCGGCAGCAGCGGGGGCCTGAGCTCTGGAGACAGCGCTGCGGGAAGGCGGCTGCCCTCCGCTGCCTGCCGGTGAGTGCGCATCCCCGCCCCCGGTGGAGTCCTGGGAGGCAGCAGAGGGGTTGGCTAGGGGTGGGCTTGTGGAGGCTTGGCTGCCGCCCGGCCTTTACTTATGGCCTGTAGTGGCTCGCCCTGCATCCCCGACCTCGGCCGCCAGCGACTCCACCGCTGTCACTATGACCGCGTCGTCTCCTCCCTGAACCCCCCCCCCCTTCGTTTCGTGGACCCCTTCCTCTCCTCGCTCGCGCACCCCTACCCCTTTTCTTTTCTGGCATCCCTTCTGTCGTATCCTTCCCTTTCTCGCACCCCCTTTCCTTTCCCGCACCCCTTTATCTCCGCATTCCCATTCCGCGCACCCCCTTTTCCTTTCTCCGCTCTCCTCCATCCCCGAATCCCTTTTCCCTCCCCGCACCCCATTTCCCTCCCATATCCCCTTTTCCTCACCGCACTCCGGGTCCCCTATACCACTCTTCCTTCTTTGCACCATGTCTCCGCATCTCATTTCCCCGCATCCCAGTCCCCCGCACCCGGTCTGGGCAGAGGTGAGGGAGGAGCTGGCAGAGGAGCAGGGCCTATGCTCCGGGGCTGTTCGGATTTAGCTCCTTGTGGGGTCCGAAGTTCTGGGAACCCTCGCTTGCCCAGTGTCCCCAGAAGTTGGCCGTCAGGTCTGGGCCATTGCCACCTGAAACCAGTTCTGCACCTTTTGTTTTGTTTCTGAACTAGGCATGGTGGGGGGTGCTGTCCTGCTAGAACCGGGACACAGGCGGGCCGCAGGGTCGTGTCACCCCTCTGGGAAGGGGAAAGTGCGGGAGATGGCCAACCAGAAGGGTCAGGATCTGCCAGCAGATGTGTGTGCAGGGTTGGTCCCGGGGTCAGTATGGTTCGGTCCTCTACAGCACGGACCTGGGGCCATTCAGGTGAGTCTACCAGGAGCCCGCTGGAGCTGATGGCAGGCTTTGGTGACACATTTCATACTAGTCCCAAGAAGGCTCCCGTCATTGTTCACTGTTTGCCATAGAAAATAGAAAGATGACCCCCACCATCCAAAATGGTTGCTGAGAGTCAGGCTTGTCAGAGGTACTTGTGCTATAAGCATCTCTCAGGTCCAAATTCCTAAATTGGTCCATTACTGAACGCCTAAGGCAGGAAAAAACAGGTACATTTAAAGTAAACAAAACTTTGATTCTTTTACACTTTCTATCTAGTGTCTTAGATTTAGGGGAAGCAGTTGGTTAAACCTAACCCTTGTCTTTTTGAGGTACCAGTGTGTACAAGTCATTGCTAACATTAACCCTATAAAATTCCTCCAGGAGGAGGGTACTTTTTTTCTCTGTAGATTAGAAAGATTGAGACTCAAACTGCGAGTACATGGTAGTTTTACTAGTGTCACGTAACAAACAATGTCTATAGGTAGGATTTTAACTCAACAATACCTTGTCTCCATCAACAGAGTTGGCTTGTATTTTTCCTTTTTTTTGAAATCACACACCCACTCTCTGGCTAGTATAGAAAGATTAAAAAGCTGTTTCTCATCTGTGGGCGGTAACCTTTTAATTTCTAAAAAATTTTCAGCTGCTTACAGAATAGATTGTTGATCAGCAGCATAGGAAAAATTTACATATTGAAAATTCATTAGCATGTGATCTGATTGTGAGCATTTATTAATATTCAGCATGAGGTTGGTACTGTGTTAGTTATAGGAAAAGAGATCTCAGTACTGTACTTACATTTTAAAATAATCAGGAGCATCATCAGCTGATCCTGCTGTGACATCTTGCAGCGGTTAAGAGAATCTTTTATAACCACAAAACCTTGTAGTCTACAGTGTGATGAAGAATCACAGTGTCTTGGGCAGTTGGTGACCATTGTTACATCAAGCTGTATGGTCCTTGCTACTAGAATGTTTTGCCCTTTTCTGCAAGGTTTTTATGTATATCATAAAACATATAATGTCTGAGGGCTTAAGTTTAAGCTCCTTAGAGTGACATTTATGGGCCACTTACTAATTTACTCATTAAATATTTATTGAGTCCTCACTTTGTTCTAGAATTTTGAAGTACTGGCCTATAGTTTGAGAACAAAACAGACGACCTCTGCCCTCTTTAAGCTTTATTTTGTATGTATAGGAAAGAAGCACAACAAACAGCCTGATAAGATCTTTAGGGCTAGTTTCATAAGCTGGCATATCTATTTTTCAAATAAACTTTGGCAGTGAAATGAATTTTATTTAATTTTCATATTATGAAATATTCATTTAAAAAGTTTTCCCTATCCATTTAAATAGGTAAAGCCATTCTTAGCTCAGAGACTACTCAGAAACATGGAGTACATTAGATTTGGCTTATATGCAGTAATCTGACCTTTTTCTCTTTTTTTTTCCGAGACAGGGTCTCACTCTAGTGTAGGTTGGCCTTGAACTCTATAGCCCAGGCCAGCCTCCAACTTGGCAGCAGTCCTGACGCAGCCTCCGGAGTGCTGAGATTACGTGCATGTGTGTTACCATGCCCAGTAGTCTGGCCTTTTGTAGAAGTGGTTTGTGACCCCTAATATGAACTATGAAGAAAATAAAACAAGCTGATGTGACAATTGAGTGATTAGGGGGTAGATCGAGGGTTAGTGGTTGAGGAGGCCTCACTTGAGAGAAGCAGCTTGAGCCATGGCCTGAAAGTTGAAAGAGCTTCCCTGAGATGAAAATGAGCTGCTCCCGTGTCCCAGGTAGGGCACTTCCCACAGAGCTAGTGATTACAGTATTGCCTGTGTTCCTTTTTCATTTCGTTGCTTTCAGCTAGTTGCCTTTCTCTGACAGGTTTTAAAAGTTTCCACACTGTGGATTCTTGGGTTGAAAGAGTTCCTCACCTAGTTCTCTAAAATGTTCTCAGTGCTTTTTATCCTTTATGTGAACACCTTTTAGTGACCAAAAGTTCCTTACGTTGAGGAATTGTGTGCAGCTTCAGATCTAACTGTTGCAGTGTTTTCTAGATAGGATTTGGCATTTCAACCCCAGAGTGAGACTCATCCCATTTTTAGGTCCTCAAACTCGTGAACCAGGCAGATATCACAGAGAAGAACTGTATTTGGAAATCCCATAAATTGCTCAGAATACATAGTATGGATGTTTCTATGTGTATAATTATACACAGTCTTTATGCCTATTAAAGGTTATGAGGCAATGAACTTTACTAAAGAAAGGAGCCTGGAACCTGGGGAATAAATTATTACATAGCTGTCTAAGGCTTCAAGTTATTTTGTGTTTTAAAAGTTACCTGATCCCTATAAGAGAGTTGGGGATGATGGAGAATTCTTACATGTTTCTGCTTATGTTCAGTTTATTGAATTCTATTTTCACATCAAGCCTTTGTTACATTAATAAAGATGTATAGATGAGTTGAGAATATTAAACAAAATACTATAGAGGGAAGGATATGGCAAAGAAAGTGGTCAGTAAATGTTTGCAGGGTTTAAATGTAGATTTTTGCTTCACTGAACTCACAAACACACTTGTCTTTGGAAAGTTATGGGGAAGAACTTGGCCACCTGCTTCCTGTCTTTCCATATTGGCATTTCCTGTTGTGGCTGTACTTAGCAGCTGTCACTTTCTTTGTCCTTCAGCATTGGTCACATTTTACCAGAGGTCAGCTTGTAAGTTAAATGGGTATATGATGTAACTATTGTTACATCACATGACTGTTAAAAGTACTGTGACTTCCATTTCAGTTTTTACTTTTCGTGTTTTAAATTTCTTCTAGCTTTTGTAATTCATTATTCTGGTTGTTCTTGTAAGTTTGCCTGTTTATCTTGCTTCTTGTTCTTACTTTGGTGCACTGAAGTACATTGTGAGGTACAAACTTAAGTTTTATCTCCTTCCTGAAGCCTTCCCTCACAATTCTAAACCTCCGTATTTCTAGTGTACTTTTATTCATATTCATTTGTTTTCTTATATTTGTATTTTACACTTGTTTCATGAGTGTTTGCTTACTTCACAGTGAGCCAACAAGTTTCTTGAGGACAGAGATCATTATTTTAGATTTTTTTTTTTTCTTTTTGTACTAGAGTAGGGAATTAGGATTTGATCCTAGGGCTTTTGCACTGAGCAACATCCTTAGCAATTATTTATTTATATTCCTAGCACTTATTTACTTACTTTTAAGACCTTGTCTTAAAGCTTGAGCTGTGCGTGAACTTGCAAGCCTCCTGCCTCAGTCTCCCAGAATGCTGTGATTACAGATGTGTGTTATGGTGCCCAGAATATTTTAGGCATTTTTTGTACTCTGGATGAATGAAGTAAAGTTGCAGGGGTTAGGAGTATATAGCTCAGCGGTGCAGTGTTTGCCTACTATGCACAAGTCCCTGGACTGGGAGACAGCACTTTTTTTTTTAATTTATTGATTGATTGTCTTTTGAGACAAAATTTTGCTATGCAGTTCAGGCTGGCCTTGAGCTCACTTTGTAGCCCAGGCTGGCCTGGAACACGAAGTAATCATCTCATTTCATCCTCCTGAGTGGCTGGGATTACAAGCATGTGCCACTACTACTTACCTTGAGACCTATCACTTAAAAAAAAAAAGACACAAATGTGTAGTCCATCATAAATGTTACATTTAATAAACTCTTATTCGTTAAAGTTACAGAAATATTATGAAGGTAGTACAGAGAATTCCTGTCTACCCTACACTCAGTTTGTCCTTTTATTAATATCTTACATTAGAGGGGCCCGTTTGTGACGGTTAGTACACCAGCATTGATGCATTATTACTAAGTCCTTGCTTTATTCAAATTTCCACATTTTCCTCCCTCAACCTTTTTCTGTTTCAGGATCCCATCCAGGATTCCATGTTATGTTTAGTAACTGAGCTCCTCTTGGCCATGATGATCTCTCGGTGTTTTCTTACTTCTGAAGACCACTGGTCATGTGTTTTGTAGGATGCTCTTTACCTGGTTTGTCTAATATATTTGTCTAATATATTTTCATGGTTAGACTGGTATGCTTTTGATAGGTTCTGCCCATATGTAACTGTCAGGCCCGGTGTGGTGTCTGCCCAACATGGCGCTGGACCCAAAAACCACAGCGTGTCCTTCTGATACTGATTTCCATGTTCTTCGTCGGAGCTGGAGTTGAACTTTTTGCTTTTCACGTGTGCTGTGTGCCCCCAATCAGTTGTCAATACATCATTCTGCCTGCTGC